ATATGCACCCACAGCATTGTTTGCTACATTGCAAAGTTTGCAATTGGGTCCTGGGTTGGGGCTGTTGGAGCATTCAAGTATGCACATACAACTCAAGTTAAGACCTGCTGGTCCACCCGCCCCCAATCAGTCTTGAATCAAGGCAAGCTCGGGGTCGTAGGGCTCCCAAATCCGAATCTTGAACGAGCAACTCCACCAAGAGAGTTATTTTCCGAGCAGTACCAAACCAATCCTGCAATTCCTACCGCCCTGATTATATTACAGACCTGGTATAGAGGAAATCCTTCTCGAATGACCAAACACGGAAAACTTGACTGGTCGCAAGAACACGAATATGCTGGTTATCCATACAAGTCCCCTAGCTGTCTAGCTGATGTACATCGTGGACACTTGGGCAACTGGTACTGTCTCCCGGATGAAACTGGATGTCCAGCAAGAATACTGATTTTTCCCCAGCAAGAAGCTTGAGAGCAAGAAGCCCGAGCATGGATTGCTCGTGATCGACCCCGAACAGAAGCTCCTACCAAGATTGCCGTTCGGCAGGCAACATGATATCTTTGCAAGACGAAGGTTGGTCTGATTTACTCGTATCTCCACATCTCAGATTGAAGCTTCTTCCCCTAGCTGCCAGGCTGCTAAGCCAGCATGGAGTGCTGTACATCTATGCAACTAGCCTCTGTCAAAAAATCGCTCTTTGAAAAGAGACTGATGCGGTGTTGACGTTTAGCGAGCTGCAGCACCTGCCCAAGCGAAGAGAGAGGTACTGAGAGTTTCAATCATCTGGTTCCTACGAAAGGTTCGACCGTGAGGGAACTGCAGAAACGTGCCTCCAAATTTTTCTCGGTTTCTGTAACCAACGCCATGTAGCTCATGCCCTTGCCAGCCAGAACATCGTCCACTGAATCCAGCCAGCGCCAGGAAGTCTTTCGCACACAGTCGTCAACCACCCGTCGCATAGCGGCATAGAAATCTTCGCGCTCCTGCAGGAGGATTTTTTCAACGCTAGGTGACAGCACATCGCCAACGAGAATACGGGTTTGCTCACTCTTTAGGGCTTGGGAGGCCTGGAAAAGCAAAAAGTCACCAAGAGAAACAAACCCCCCGATCTCGCTCCTGCTTGAAGGCCGGGCTCAGCCAAACATACCGTTTCAGGTGGCCAACTCCCTTGAATTTCAGACAGAGCCCAGGGCGACCCCGCAACATTGGAAGATCAAGCACGTAGCTGCCACGAAGAACGGCACATAACTGAACCAACTCTGGCAAAGATTTAAGATCTTTCGTTATGACGACATCTGCATCTCCAGCAAAGCTCACCATCTGCATGCCCGAGTCTTGCGCGGGTCGAACAGCTCCAGAAACACCTGGACAAACGAAGGCAGGCACTGTTGCCTGTGCAGTGTTCTCCAAAAACCACGGCTTGGAAGGCCCAGAGTATAGAAGATCTCTTTTTTTCTCTCCTGCTGAAAGATCAGGAGGCTTCAGGAGTGCAGATTTCTTGGCGGCCAACTGCCGGATAAATAATTCTAGTTCTTCGTCTGCTTCCTCTGGAAGCAAGTGTCCGTCCTTGAGTGCCTGAAGTTTTCGCTCCATTCGGCCATCCAGTTGAAACTTCAACTCAGCCTTGGCGGTCTCTGGCAGAAGCTCAGAGGCCGGAACTCGGCAGCCCCCCTGCTCCTGCACCTTCGCCTGCACTTGAAGTCTCCGCTTCTGAATCCACCCACGCTCTGTGTCTCCAGTGGGTTCGCTCTTGCGCTTCAGGCCCTTGTCCAGACGAGGTTGACTGTGTTGTCGAGGTGCACCATAAAGAGCAAGCCAAACCTGCTGGGTTAACGAGTTGTGTTTTGCCACCCCTGAACTGCTAACTTTAACTTAAAGTCATACGTTTGCTGGACCTGCTGAGCCAAGCGAATCTGCTGGTCCTCAGTCTGAGGATCATGATCCAAAAGCAAAACCATGTCCCGGCATTCGCTGGCTTCTGAGGCGTGGGACTGCCTCGCGGTCTGGAAATGGGTCCCATGACCAAAAGCTTGCTCAACTCCACTGGTTGATGGCGTCCATGCCACCCATCTCGACAGAACAGTCAACAAAGTGCTGCATGGATGTCGGTCTCGACGTTTCTTGGTCGCACGTACTCGCTGCAATGTGTGCTGCCATGCTGTCACCGAGTCGCAGGAAGTGGCAGATGCATGGTTGCGTGCGAGGACGGCCAAATCCTCAAGTTCAGATCTTAACAAGGCTTCCTCGAGACTGAAGAACCTGGCCAAGCGCCTGATATTCAGGTCCCGCACTTCGTTTGTCATGCCGTCTCTCTGATTTCCTGCAACCTGTAGAATTGAGAAGCTGGCAAGGACATCCCATTCAGGGAACTCATGCGAGATTACCGACTGGCAGAGCCTAACCCAGACTTTCATACGTCCGAGGCAACGGTCCAAGATCTCTGCAGTTATGCAACTCGGACCCCCGATAGTACGAACACCCCTACCATCCAGACTTGGTAGCAGAATCTCTCGCTGGCTCAGCATGTCAATCATGTGTCGAGTGTAGCCGGTCAAGACACAAACTGGTTCATCCGAGACAAACAAAGCACACACCTTTGTCAGGAAATTGTTGATGTTCATCCCGATTTCCTCTGATGCAGCTGATTCTGAATCGAACTGTCGTACAAGTTGTTCCCCCTCGTCGCCGGCATCGGCGAGCATGGCGATCTGAAGAACGATCTCTTCGGTAATGTATGCCAGGAAGGCAGATGCCTTGTCGCCACTGTCTTCCCCACGCCGCTCGCGACTGATTTCAACGATTGTTTGCAGGAGTGGAAAGAACCACAAGACGAACCGCCCGATGGGTTTCTGGGTGGAGTCGAACCGTTGCTTCGCCAAAGACAGTGAACGAACCACTGACTTCACCTCGCTGGCTGATCGGCTGACATGATGCTCGAACCTGTTTTTGAAAAGGAAGCTGTTCTCGATGGCGGCAACTATGCTGTGCTTGCCGAAGAAAACACATTGCATGATGTCTCTCAGAGTTGGCTCTGCGTCGAATGGACGTTTGATGATCCTGTTTTTCTATCTGATTCTATCTATTAGAGGAACCATGCAAGTCTTGGGCCCAGGATTTGGTAACACACAAATTTCAAAAGCATTAAAAGCACTCAAGACCAGAAAGCCCAGTCCTTCTGGAGGCATGTGCACAATCACGAAGGGTCAGGCGAATATTGGGGCAGAAATCCTTCCGCAAGAGAGCTGATGCCTTCTGCTCGTCGCTGGCATTGTCGGCAACAATGACCTCGATCTTGGTTCGCAGCGACTCGAGAAGACCCTCATCTGCCGCAAGACCGGAGCGATTCAGACCCGGGGCTTCGCAACAGAGGGTGCAGAATTGCCGAATCACTTTCTCTGTAGCTGCACTCACTGCGCCGGCACAGCTCCCAAAGTTTTTCGCAAGTCCCAACACCCCAGATCTCCGTTGCAAAGTAGCTGATGCTGCTGTGAATCTTACCAACAGACGCTGGTGTCGCTCGTCCTGCTGCAGGGAGATGGAAACAGCCTCGTCTTTCAACCATGCCCTCAGCAACATTCGCTTCGCTTCGGCCAAGCAGAATGACAGCTTCCGCAGCTTGTCCGGGCCAATTCCCAAATCTTTCAACCCTGCTTGGCATGCGACTCCTTCGAGCCGTTTCTTCAAAGCTTCCCGGAAAATCTCTTCTGAGGGTGCATCCATAATTTGTGGTCCATTCGTGGGGAAACCCGCTGCTCTCACTGCCTTGCAGTGGCTGGGAGAAGCTTCGTGTCTCAGCAGATGTGACAGCTGCATGTCAGTGGCCGTGGCCTCCAATGAAGCGAAGCCGGTCCTTGCCCCAGAATGGGCGCACAAAGCACAGCCGACCCCGATGGAACCGTCACGGTGCTGGCAGAGGGCCAGCCACGGAATCGCTGATAATTGCCTCTGCCATTTTGCATGCTTCCGAATGGCGTGGCAAGCAGCACAGGTTTCCCTCCTGGAGCATCCCTTCACATGTGCAACATAACACTCCGACAGGCTGCCATCCGAAAGAAGCAGCTCCACGTGCTCTTTATCACTCATGACAATGAAGCCCAAATGGCTTTAATCGGTTAAGTGATGCACTTGACGTCAGCTTGAAAGCCCGTGGGATGACTCTTAACATAACAAGATCGGGAAACCAAGAGAGCTGGGACAGGGAGGAGTGGAAGAACACGTGTTTGCAACAACCCTGGCCCTAGCAGCACAACCCTTGAACACTGGAAAAGTAGAACCCCCCTATTCGAAACAGTTTCCGTCGCCTCGCTCGACAGGCCTGGTACATTCACACGCTCGGCAAGGCCCAGGCCCGCCGTCAGAGATGGCCGACCTGACAACATGCTCGGGGGTTCGGTTTTTAGCATCGTCTTTTGCAAGAACTCTGGCTGGTCCCGAAATTTCGACAGCCCCAGGAAGTTAGATCTGTGGCGAGCACAGTCATAGTAGGTTCATCTTACCGGCGAGCTAAGCAGCAACTTAGCATAAGTCATTACATGGCTTTCGCACAGAGTTTTCGTGTGGCTCTGGAAAATATCAGCAAATCCGCTACTGTAGCAGGCTAACCTAGATAGGAATTACTTGCGGCGAAAGGGCATGCCGCCTACAACTAGCTCTGGTGCTACTCACTCGCGGCGAAGGGGCATGCCGCCTAATCCAGTATCAGTATCTAGAATTTGCTAGTAAACCGACCCTTGACCCTCAAATCATCTTGTGCCATGCCGAAACGGAAAAACAAGAGGGAATTGGGCCAAGCCCCTGCTCTTACGGCACGAGATTGGCAACGGTGGATTAGGTTCGTACTTGAACATCACACGTCTCAGATGGCTGCCCTTATACAATTCACCGGATTATTCGCACTCAGATGCGGCGAGGCCTGCAACCTCACAGCGGCAGATCTCAAGCTGCAGGCGAACCCACCTCAGATCCGTATC